GGGGTGGAGATAGTTTAACTTTCATAAAACAAGAATGATGTATCCACTTGTCCTTCGATTTACGTGGATTATCTGTTCCATGCGTAAAGAGAGTCCACCAGTAGGAAAAAATACTAACGAAATAGACCGATATGTTATAAAAATATTTATTTCACATATTTTCACAAAAATATGCTGATGAAAATTCAGAAAAACCAAAATTTTATTTGTTGTCAGTGTCTGTGCTGTAATCTAAAGCAATCAGTGACTTTAATTGGTACAAAGTCACTGTCTTCATCGCTCGAAATATTTGGAAGTACTAGTATTAGTTCTTTGTACGTTGTTGAGTTAAACATTTGTTTTTTATAAAGAGTAATCAGTAATGGAAATGAAAAAGAACCGTGTAAAATGAGACTGCATGAATGGAAACCGCTTATAAAAAGTCTGCATAAATGATAGTAATATATGCTACATATAAACTTGTATAACAAAATACTGTGTAAATCAGTTGATCATTAGTACTAAAAAGATGGAATTCATTTTTAGTGGGAAACATAATTTCCTAGTAAATAACGGTGGGCATGGGCTTAAAGTATAATTGCAGATATACTAATTCTTAGAATGAATGTAGAATGAAGTTTTGGGGGTTTTAGTTTAATTTGTCAGATGGAATTATGTTATAGTACTGGAAAGACGTTTGCAGCACAGTCCTAAAGATGAGCAGGGACAGAGAGTAAGCAGGGAAGTTACTTGAGTGGGAACAAATTTTATATGGCCCAGTTGATCCGTGAACATTTTTGTGTTATCACTTGCTTCCCTGTGTAAACTTGAAACTGCAAAGACTTGGATTTTGAACATTCGGATGACAGGAACTTCCTGTTTCTCAAACCGCAAGTCAGCATCATACTTAACAGCAATCCCTGACAAAGTTCCCACAGATGACAAAAACATCAGGATGTTCACTATTACCATAATTTAATTTTGTTCAGGAAGTATTTGCTGACCCAATAAGGTAAAACAAAGATACATATTATAAAGAAGAAGGCAAAATTATTTGTGATATTCTTTATAGTAGAAACTGAAGCAAATCCACCAAAAAACTGAGAAATAGAGGATTCGGTAACTTGGCTGATCTAATTTTAATACAAGAATTGGTAGCTTTTTTATATGCAGATAAAAAAGCAGTTACAAAATTAACTGGAAGGAAGCAACCCATTCATAATAATGACTGAAAGGTAAAATACCTAGACATAAAAAATATCTATATGAAAAGAATTTTTTAATGCTATTAAGGTTTGTGAAAAGGTACAATACGGAGACTTGTAATGTTCGGTTTTGAAAAAATGACAGTTCTTTAAATTTACCTATAAAGTCACTTCCACTCTAAAATACCAACAAGATTTTGGGGAGAAATATATACAGATACACTAAAGTTTACCTGGAAAAGTGTGAGAGTCTGGAAAACTTAGTAATTCTGATAACGAGAGTACAAGGGGAAGCTCTACTAGATAATGAAACCTATTCTTTTGCTACAGTAGGGACGAAATACCTAGGCTGTTGGTGGAACAGAATGGAGTGTAGAAATAAATGCAAAATGTCTATGGGTATTTAGGTTATGCTAACCAGTAATGAAAAGATAGTTCATCAGTTTTGTAGGCAATCTCTTTGCCTCACTCCTTATATTCGAATTCTAGAGAGATTACAAACTGGATAATAAACCATTGAAGTTGTAAAGGGAAGCATGAATTACTTGTTTATAATTTTAGAATATTTAAGGCCTTCTAAGGAGGACACAAAACCTAGAAGCCAAGATTGATAGATTTAATATCCAAATTAAGAATTTCCGTCTCACAAAAATGCTACAAAATAGGGAAAATATTTGTCACAATTTGATTAATATAAGATTGATTTATAGGATTGATTTTCTTCATATGCAAAGAAATTTTATAAAAATAAAAAGTGCATACAGAAAAATGAGTAATATGAAAATTTACAGTAAAAGAAATTCAAATGATCAGAAACGAAAAATGTTAAATTTTATTCAAAAATTTTAAATGACAAGAATTTTTTCACCCATCAGATTGGCAGAAATTAGTTTAATACCTGCTGCTGGAAATGGCAAGGAAACTGATACTGGCGTACACTTAATGGAAATGTAAGTTGTAACTCTTATGGGAGTAGTTTGGGATAGCTATCAAATTAAAATGTATTTATTACTCTTTGAGCCAACAATGCCATCGTAAAGATTTACCCAACAGATAAACTTGTAAGAGTTCACCCAAGCAAGGTATAGGTATAAGGCCTCCCATTGCAGCATTTTTTAAAAGAAATAAAAAGAAAAAACAAAACAAGAAAACAGTGACCATAAGTAGGCCATAGAATAAATTTATATAATATATTCATTTAATAGAATACTATGCCACCATTCAAAACACTGGAGTGCCTCTGTGCTGTTATTAGAAGATTCCAAAATGCATTGTTAACACACCTTGCTCTTTTTACTTAGTAGTGTGTTCTTTTGGTGTATTTTTTTTCAATAATGGATAGGTTGGTGGGGTAGGGTGATGGTGAAGTGAATGCAACTAGAGTCATTCTGACTAGTAAAGAGGCTTTTATACTAGTCAGGCAAGAGATACCTGAGTCAAGGCAGTGAGCCTAGAGGAGAGGATGTCTGTATATTGATTTGCAACTTTGTTTTTCTTTAAAAAAAAAAAAAGACATCTTTTTTAAATCTGTATTTTAATGTGTCACTTTAATGTGTAACTTTTTTCTAAAATGTAATATACATTTAAAAATTTTATTTTTCAATTACAGTTGACGTTCAATATTATATTAGTTTCAAGTGTACAGCATAGTGGTTAGACATTTATATAACTTATGAAGTGATCCCTGTGATAAATCTAGTGCCTACCTGACACCATATATAATTATAATATTGACTATATTCTCTGTGCTGTAAAAAATAATATACATTTTTTAATGAATTTTTACTTAAATGATTCATTTATTGTTTTGTTGTTTTAGTGCATTTACAAGCCGCCAACTCTAAGGAATCTGGCCTCTCTTGGTCGAGCATACAGGTGACTTCATTATTATCTAACTGCTTTAATATCTGCCAAAATGAGAAATAATTTCTTTCTGAACCAAGCCTTACTTTGATTATTTAAATTGGCAGTGGAACAAATTTTCAGAACACCAGCGAACAGTTTTTACTGTCCCTTTATTCCCCATCCATGATAGTGCTAAGCAGGATTTAGATATAAGTCCCACTGCTTCTAGTCCTCTGCCAAGTTGAGGTGTCTTCAATGAACAAAGTGCTTTTGTTGTCCGGAGGTGGTAATGGCTCCCCTGAGTGTGGGTGGACATGAAAGGTTGGACTTCTGGTGCTGAGTTCTATAGGTGTAACCAGGTGATTTAGTGGGGAGAAAAATTCCCTAGCCCCTTTTATAACCTTCGGTAGGGCAGACTTTGGGTCTGCAGTGGTGTCCAGTCTTCATTCCTCCCAGCTGAGGGCAAGTTTATCTTTCTTAGTGGGAACATGATAGCAAGTGAGCTGGAACTCCGAACAAAGACTTTGGGCCAAAGTGTGCACATGTTACATTTTCTTAGTATATCTTCTGGGAAAAGGGCACACAGATCTTGGTATGACTTAAAGAATGTAGTCTGTTTCTATATGCTTCAGACGAAAAAAGAAAAAAAGTAGTACATAGTAGTGTCAGAGGGTCTTGGGATCTTCCCGAGAGCCTCCTAACACAGGTCCTAGCCTGCTTCTCCACCCTCATCTGCCACCCAGCAGGACATATTCAGTACAGAATACCCCCTTATCCTCAGTTTCAGTTACCACGGTCAACCAAGGTCCAAAAATATTAAATTGAAAATTCCAGAAATAAACAATTCATAAGATTTAAATTGCATGCTGTTCTGAGTAGTGTAATGAAATCTCATACCGTCCCTCCCGGGACACGAATCCTCTCTCTGTCCAGCATTGTATCCATGCTGTATATGCTATCCACCCGTTAGTCACTTGGTAGTCGTCTCTGTTATCAGATCGACTGTCACGGGTATCATTGTGCTTGTGTTCATGCAGCCTTAATAGTATGTACCCTAACGCTACATCACAATGCTTACATCATTCATCTCGCTTCCGCTCATCACGTAGGCATTGTATCATCTCACATCATCACAAGAAGGATGAGTACAGTACAATAAGACGTTGAAAGAATGAGCACATTCAAATAACTTTTATTATAGTATATTACTATAATTGTTTTATTAATTTCTTGCCATGCCTAATTTATAAATTAAACTTTATCCTAGAAAAAAATATATGTAGGGTTTGGTACTGTCCTCGGTTTCAGGCATCCACTGGGGAGATCTTGGAACATATCCCCCATGGATAAAGGGAGACTACTGTAATTCCTCAAGAATGTGATACTGCTGCTCCTTTGACCTGCATTTTAACCTCTACTGCCTTTGGCTAAAAGGGAGTCCAAGTCAGCATTCAGAGATCCTAGCCTGCCCTGTCATTCCCTCCAGACATCAAGTTAATGACCCCTTCCTCTGTGGGGCCTTTATATCTTTTACTTATTTCTGTGATTGCTTTTATCACATTGTAGTCTAATTGTTGGCATGTCTTATCTCCCCTGAGGTCAAGGTTTCTGTTTATTACTAATCTCTGACACCTAGGAGAGTGCCTGGAACATTACAGGAGTTGAATAAATTGGTTGAATTTAATTCTCTTAGCATATTGAGAGTCAGTGTAAAAGCATGCAAAGAAGAAATTCCCAACCAAAGTAAATGAGAGTCTTCTTGACAGTGTTATCCTGTATGTCTGAATGAAATAAATGTGAAAAACATTTTTATTAAGAACTTAGGGAAGGAAACAAATGGAAAGGCTGACATTTGTTGTGGACTCTGACTCCATTTACCATGTCCCCACCACAGTGTTAGAGTCTAATGTATTGGTGCTCTTCAGCTGACTTTCACTCTAATTGTGCTTGGATGGCATTAGCTTTGGTTATAAGTATGGAAGCCGAGCCTCAGGTACAGCAATTTGCCTTTGGTCACTTTGGAACTTTCTCTCATTGGTCTGATACTGTAGGACTTTTGTAGTTCTAATTAGGCTTCATTGTTGTCACTCTTTATTGAAAACAGTTAAATAGATTGAGACAAATTTAATTGAAAAATGAAGAAAAGGAAAGTCTAGTAATGTGAAATTGCAAAAATATAAACTACTCATTTTAACTTTTTTATGTGTAATTAATAAAAGCAGAATTTTGCCATGTCCTTCAAAAATTGTTTTTTTCTATAACTTTTTATTGATCAGTAAAAGGACTCACTGCTGTCTAAACTTTTGTTAACATCATTAAAAATTCAAAGTTACTGAACCTTAAATATTCTTATTTTTAATATCTATATGATACTCATCAGATAGCTACATCTTTATTTATGTGATGTAGCATTGTGGCTGTCCTGTAGTTGAATCTTTGTTTACATCTTGTGTTAATAATTTCCCTAGGCTATATTTCTGCAAGGAAAATTATATGTATGTGTTCCATAATTTGTTACATATCTTTGGCTCCTGCAATGCAATAGCTCCTCAAGAACTGATGCTTTCTGATTCCATGCCTTAGCTCTGCACTTAACTTTACCTTCACAGCAATTAAATTTCTCTTAAACATCTTTTTTCCTGAATGCTTAGCAGTTTACAACAGCATGTGTGTGATATGAGAAAGAAAAAAACATAAGGAACTTGGTTTGTTCTTTTTGTCATAGGTCGGAGACCTAGATGGATTATCTGACCTTTTTTTTTTTTTTTTTTAACTGTTGAAACCCTTAGTGTATGTAGTCTTTGTGGTAAAATATATCATGAAAGTTATCTTGACCAATTTTAAGTGTACAATTCAGTAATGTTAAGTGTTTTTACATTGTAATAAGACAGATTTCCATAACTTTCGCCTTGCAGAACTGAAACTCTACTCGTTAAATAATAACTCCCTGTTCCACTCTCTTCCAGTCCCTGGTAACCACCATTCTGCTTTCTGTCTCTGAACTGACTACTTTAGGTATCTCATGTAAGTGGAATCATAGTATTTGTCTTTTTATGACTGGCTTATTTCACTTAGCATACAGTTCTCAAGGTTCCTTCCACGTTGTAGCACATGATAGGATTTTCTTCCTTTTTGTATATCTATTCATCAGTGGACATTTGGGTTGCTTCCACCTCTTGAGTGTTGTGAATAGTGCTGCTGTGAACGTGGGTGTGCAGCAGTCTCTTAGAGACCCTGCTTGCAATTCTTTTGGATTCTGTACCACAATGTAACATTGTTTACCTTGGCAGAATCTCCTATTAGATTGTGGTTCCTTATCTTTTAATCCCTAGCACTTAGCAGAAGTCCTAGTTCAGAGTAGATAGTAAATAAGCACTAACAGAGTGAAGGCATATCTTGCTATTTTATTTCTCATAGGAGGACTTTGAGTTGGTTTCAGAGGGATAATGGTATATACCAGGGGTCCACAACCCCCAGGCCGCGGACCACACAACAGGAGGTGAGTGGTGGGCAAGCGAGCGAAGCTTCATCTGTATTTGCGGCTGCTCCCCCAGCGCTAGCATCACCGCCTCGGCTCCACCTCAGATCATCAGGCATTGGATTCTCATAGGGGCACCGGTCCCCAGTGCCAAAAAAGTTTGGGGCTGCTGGTATATACCATTTGTATTGTAGGCCGGGTGTATGAACTAGTCCAATGGTTCTCAATTTTTTTGGTCTCAGGACCCCTTTACACTAAAAATTGTTGCAGATGCCAAAGAGCCTTTATGTGGATTAATAATCGTGGTCTTAAAAATTAAAACAATTTAAAAATATTAATTCGCTTTAATGATAAACCCCATTACATGTTAACATAACACATTTTCATGAAAAATAACTTTTTCAAAAAAAGGTTTTTTGTGTTTTACAGTTTTGCAAATCTTTTTAAAAGTCTGGCATATAGGTACGGTCTCATACCTGCTTCTACATTCAGTCTGCTGTGATAAGTCGTTTTGGTGAAAGTTTATACAGAAAATCCAGCTTCACATAGTATGTTATTGGAAAAGGGAGGACCTCCCGGACCATGGAAGGGGTCTCAGGAACTTCCAGTGTCCTCTGAAAATACTTAGAGAACTACTGATTTAATCTAAAGGGGAAAATGTAATAGTATCCAGAAATTGGAGGAAGGGTAAGGGGGTAAAAATCCATGTGTTTAACACTGTGTTTAAAGATTTACCCACTGTCATTTTATCACTCGTAGGTTAAAAAAAAGTCATTCATGAGGAAGAAAGGATCTTAAGCCACATGATGGATTCAGAAGCTCATGAAAAAAGGTCGCCAATCATAACATCTTCAAAACAAGATATATCACCTCATATTGCAAATGTTAGTGAAATGAAGCATTACTTGTGTGGCTGCTGTGCAGCTTTCAACAATGTAGCAATCACATTTCCCATTCAGAAGGTCCTCTTCCGGCAGCAGCTGTATGGAATCAAAACCAGGGACGCAGTGCTTCAGTTGAGGAGGGATGGATTTCGAAACTTGTATCGTGGAATCCTTCCCCCGTTATTGCAGAAGACAACTACACTGGCACTTATGTTTGGTCTTTATGAGGATTTATCTTGCCTTCTCCGTAAGCATATCAGTACCCCAGAGTTTGCAACCCGTAGCATGGCAGCATTACTTGCAGGAACAACAGAAGCAATTTTCACTCCTTTGGAAAGAGTTCAAACGTTGCTTCAAGACCACAAGCATCATGACAAATTTACAAACACTTATCAGGCTTTCAAGGCACTGAAATGCCATGGAATTAGAGAGTATTATCGAGGCTTGATACCTGTTCTCTTCCGTAACGGATTCAGCAATGTCCTTTTTTTTGGCCTTCGCGGCCCCATTAAGGAGCACCTGCCTACCGCAACGACTCACAGTGCTCATTTGGTCAATGACTTTATCTGCGGAGGTCTGTTGGGTGCCATGTTGGGAATCTTGTTTTTTCCAGTTAATGTTGTAAAAACTCGCATGCAGTCTCAGATTGGTGGGGAATTTCAGTCTTTTTCCAAAGTTTTCCAAAAAATATGGTTAGAACGGGACAGGAAACTGACAAATCTTTTCAGAGGTGCCCATCTAAATTACCATCGGTCCCTCATCTCTTGGGGCATAATCAATGCGACTTATGAGTTCTTGTTAAAGATTACATGAAAGAAATTATCAGTTAAGTGCCATTTATCAACCAACTAGACCTAAGGAGAATGCAGTTCCTAATTGACCAAGTACAAGTTGGTGTCTTAAGTCCAGGGCATGATGAATTATGGGCAAAGCTGTTTTTCTTAAGCACCAACCGATTCAGAATAAAAAGTTTCAATAGGAAAATTTAAGGGGTATTTTTTTGGGGTGAGGGGTTAATCATTACCTAACAGCTTGAGCTAATTGCCTGGTTAAAAGCTATCTCGTGGATGACTTTTGACAAGGAAACTAATAGCCAAAATAGTCTTTTCCCCAGTCTTTAAACCTTCTGTATTAAAACATAAGTGGCCATGACCAGCCAGAGAAAAGGCTCTTAGGGCTCCTTGAATTCTCAGGCTTTACTTTTAATACTCCATTTCTTGCTTCTCTGCTCTTAGGAGTTGCAAAGGGTAGTCTTTGCTAAACTTAAGCATATACATGGTAGGACAAAGGAGCCCAACAGAAGGAGCACGCTTAATAGATGAAGGCTTTTCATGATAAATTGGTTGTCTTCATTTTGAAAAAAACATCGGTTGGAATAGTATCCAAACTATTTTTGATTAGACAGGGTAGACTCAAGCAGCCGTTGAAAGCTTCCATTTTGCTTTCTAGGTTTGAAAATTTTCTGTTCTGAATGTGACCTTAAACCAGCCCAAAGTATCCTTATGTTAATTACACTTGTTGCCAAAATAGGGGAGACTTAAATTTTGTTATAGGCATTTCATCCTGTTAAGAAGTTTCGTATTCATTGCATATAGATCAAACTCTGTAGCTCAGTTTATTTGAATTATTGTTGCCAACTTAGTAAACGGCTTTGGGGTTTTTTTTCTTTAAGTAGTAGTTTGTCTTATTAAAGTAGCCTATTCTCTTGAAACTCCTTTAAAAAGGCAGAAACACTTCCATAAAATTTTATTTCAGAAGTCTAATGGAATCCCAGATTATTTCCCCCTAGTTTCTAAATGTTTTGGGGGAGGGGAAAAAAATCAGGATAGCTTTCACCACACAGTGTTAGCTGTCTTTTTTTGTTGTCCTGGAAATAGAGACTTCTGTTAGGATTTTTACATTTTGGGAACCCAGTTTTACCACTATTAAAACAGTTTGAAAGGATAAGATCTAAGTAAAGCTATTTGAAGGGTTAATTTTAAATTCTAGAAGTCGGTAGTAGTTGGATATCTTACTCATCCTTTGCCCTACAAAAACTTGTCAAAGGAATCAGATTTTAAAATAGTTTTCCAGATAAATAAGGCAAATGACTCATACCAATTAAATAATAAAACATGAAACATCTTAGAAAAGTGGTTTATCTTTTAAAAACCTACATCTGCAAATATTAAGATAGCTTTCTAGCATCTGATGTGGCAAAGTAGTTAGGTTTCTTAGTACCAGTTTTTCATCATTTTGGGTAATTGCATATGAATATGTGCACATACTGACCAAAATAAAATCAGGGTCTCAATTGGTAGTTTACTCAGTTTCTGGGCAGATAGTCCAAAAAAGATGTTTACCTCTACATGCAGTATGGCTGGTCAAATAAAATGAACATTCTACCAAACAAGGGGTTAGGAAACATCACCGAGCATTTGTCAGGCAGTAGTCAAGCTTTACAGCAGCTCTGTTGGACAATGTTGTGTCAGACAGTCAAGGTTTACAGCAGCTCTGTTGGACAATGTGCTAGAAATGGCAGTTTACATCAGAAAAGGTGCAGATGTAAGGATTTCAGAAAACAGTTTGTCACCAAATGTGAGTAGCATCCTTTGAATATCAAATAGTCAAGATTTGAAGCAGCTGTTTCAGAAATGAATGACAAAAGCACAGTGATGCCTGACCCCCTCATTCATGTGTGTGTGTGTGTCCCTGAACACTCCTGGGCACGTGTAGGTACTCAGCATGTGGCAGATGTGTGAGCCTGGGGTCAGTCGTGCCTTGGCCCTGGGAGTGGACTCCATGGCCCTTTGGTTCCATGGGGCTTCCTTTTTTCTAGACACTCCATGTAGGGGATGAGATCATCTAAGTTCTAAAGCACTTTTGTGACATACAATTGAAGTGAAAATTCAAAGGAGTATGCTTTGGTTTCTGCTGTGTTAAATATGTGGCATTTAAAAACAATAAATATTTTTAATGGTTTTAACTCATAATAATTTTGGATTTCTTTGTCACTTTTTATAGCTTTTGAAGACCAAACTGCAAATTCATTACAGTTTTGTGTTGTCCCATGAACTCTTTAAATTTGACAAAAATTCAACAGAACTTGTAGCCAACAGCATTGTCTGAACTTTAAGTCAACATGTGTTATAAATAAGAGATTCTATTGTTTTTGCCTTCAGTGTGAACGAGTATGGTAGTAATTTTTTAAAGGCAGACATCAAATAACTTTGAAAAGCTTTAAAAGTGTCTCTTTCTGTTACATATGTGACACACACCTCACAAGCGCAGGGCACTTCTGAACTTGCCTCCTGTACTTCATCTGATGTTATGGATTCTATATTTAGCATAGAGTGGTATGAGCCCTCAGGACTGCACCAGAGTAAACACTGCATGGTGGCAGATTTGTGTGTCTCATTTGTGTCAGAGACAGTGTTGATGTTTTTGTCTCAATAGTCAATATTCATTTTACCTTATCGTTGGTTATATAATCACTTGCTGTATATTGTGAACTGTAGTAAAATAGAATTGTGTGTATATATATATATACTCATCGTTGGAGACTTGAAATACCCTAGCTTGATAACAGTGGTAATACTCAGAAGGCTGTGCAGACATGTAAGGGAATAATATGATGGATGAAATGGGATCTAGAGGGCTTCATAGTAAGCCAGTCATTGACCAGCACTGTTTCAGTGTAGTTGAAGTACTGTAGTGTGAGGGGTATGCGATCAGAGTTGAAGGTGAAGAAAGACTTGATTTCTTTTAAAATAATTATTTCTTTTGTTTTCTTATGTGCACATAAATGCATATCGAAGACTTGAATAGGCATTCTACTTAAATTTGAGGATCTTCGTTTTTAATACTGTTTTTTTGCTTAATATTAAATATTTGCTTGCCCAAATGTCTCCAGAATTGTGAGGCAATCTCTACATATTTCCATTTTTAAAGTTCCATTATTAAAAGTGGTTATTCACACAAAGCTGTTTTTGTTTGATATTTTGAGTTTTGTGACTATTTGAATTTAAATAAAATCTGTTAAATGTGTCAGTTAACGTGCTGCTTTTTTGGTAATTCTTTTTGGAATAAAGTTTTTTTAAGTCCATTTGGTCTTTTCTTGTGGTTGGGTTAGGGTTACTAGCACTTTCCTTTTCTGGTGGTAGATTTATCTATTCGTATTTTTGTTGGTAATACATTTAACACACTACTTTGAGTCTTAGCAGCTTCACCTGATAACTTTGAAGGTAGAACAGTCCTTCATTTATCCATCTTCAAGAGGCGTTCCAAAAAGTTAATTTTCCAGATAGCTAAACTGCAACGATTTCGTTTTTTAAAGCTTTTTCTCAAGTGAAATAAACTTTCCTACTGAATATGAAACTGTCTTGGTAAATGCAACTTACCAAGCATTTTTGTTGTAATCATGTACCTTCAGTTCATGCTTACCCCCAAGCTCAATAGTCTGGATGTTCATGCTTTTCAAGATTTTTATATCTGCATTTAACTCCATAGCTGTTCCTTCCTTTTTGGAGAGTGTGAAGCTATCTTAGCTCCACTGTTGGTTTACATGATAAATTGTAAGATGTTTCCTGTGTCTAAGGATAGTTGAGTTTACGTGACAATGACCCACTTGGTGAGGGAGCAGTTACCGTATAATGCTTCTAAAACTCCAGTTTAGGGTAGAAATTCATTAGAAAAGTGAATGTTCTGAACATTAAAATTGAAAACGGGCATTTTACATGTCATTTGATGAAATGTCATTTTAACCCACCTGCAGCAGCCCTTATAGACGGCAGAATGAGGAGCGTATGTATCTGAGGGTGGAACTGGGCAGGGTCTAGGGGAGCCCTGCACAGCTGCGAGCATTCCAGGTCTCCGACCCGAGAGGCTGGTTCCCCAACTTGATCCATTTAGCAACTGAAGATTCCAATAGGGATTTTTTTTCCCCCAGATGAGCATATCTGATTTTGAAGCAGAAACTAAGAATAAGATAGGCTTTATCTAAATTCTCATCTCCCTTCGGTCCATTCTTCATATTGCTGTGAGTAATCTTTTTAGATGAAATGATCTGGGCCCTGCGTCCTTTATTCTCATCTCCAGCTAAAACTGCCCTGCCCAGTCTGCCCTCCAGCACAGGGACTTCTGTATTTCAGCTTCCAGGCCTTCACCCATGCAGAGTTCCCCTGCTGTAAACACTGCACCCTTCCCTGACTCTAACTCCTACTGAGGCCTTCAGACTGAGATCAAATGTCACTTCTTCAGGGAAGCTGGTCCATACTCGCAGGGCTAACTCAGGTTCCTCTTTTGTACTTATGCTACCATGCCCTGTTTTGTGATTATTTGATGCCACTAGCTCCTTTCGAATGCCAGCTCCAAAAGGCAGAGATTCTGCTCTAGTATCCACCTTGAGGTGCCTGGCATGGTGCCTGATACCTGGTAGATGTCTGGTATGTCTAAGAATCAAGAGAGTTAAGGGACTTGTGGGTATTCAGAATTACAGCATTCCAGAATATCCTATCTGACTCTCATTCCTTGATGGTGCATGGAAGTTAAGGAAAAAAATGTTTACACTGCTCAGGCTGCCATAACGAAATGCCATTAACTGGATAGCTTAAACAACAGATGTTTCTCACAGTTCCAGAGGCTGGAAAGTCTAAGATTAAGGGGCCAGCAGATTTCCTGTCGAGAGGCCTCTTGGTGTGCAGACTTCTTACTGTATCCTCACATGGCAGAGAACCTTGTTTAGAGAACCTCATCGAAACCTAATTACCTCCCAAAGGCCCCACCTCGAAATCCCAGGTTTTGGGTGGGACACAAACATTAAGTTCGTTCATATGAGCTAAATGACAAGTGTTCTTGATTTTCCTTTAACACTCAGCTGTCCTTTAGTCTGAGAAATGTCTAGTTAATTTGAGACAAAAAAAAATTGTGCATAAGTCAAGATTGTATGTATGTACAGGCACTCCGTTTTATCCCTCTTTGCACTGTTTGTGAATTGTGGAACTCAGCTGAATGAAGCTGACCAAGAAGGGTAAGAAGAAAGTATTCCTTAAAATAATGAGTGGGTCATTGACCGCTGCTTTGTTACTGTAGAAGTGCCATGAAGGCAGTGACTTGTTTTAATTGTTTAGATCAAACCACCTCTCTAGTCGTTCTACCTTTCATCATCAACAAAACACATTCAGTTCAGGTACTCTTGGGGAACCAGCCAGCAGTTACTTGCTCCTGATACAGAGTACACCAAAAAGGGGGAATGGAATGCATTTAGTTGCATTGAGATGGTACCTTTTTGTTTCATATGATACTAGGAAAAAGGAACCTCTTTCGGGGGTCATATCTGCAGTAATAGGTGGCTTCTAGTATATAGCTTTCTCCTTTTCCTTGGGCAAAAAGAAGCTTCAGAACTTTCCTCAATCTTACTTTTCTGAGAAAAGAATGATTTAAGAAAAGAAATTTGCAGGCTCCCCACTCCTCACTTCCCCCTAGAAAACAGCCACAGTGTTTCAAGAAGGACATAATAGGGAAAAATGGTTATGTATGGGAACCAAGTACTTTTTATTTGTAATATGTGTGTGAAATATGGAAGTAGAGTGTAAAAAAGAAGTTAGGAGGTGAGGGCCTAAAGATGTAATAGAAGATGTAACTTGGAGATGTAATAGGTGTGAATGCCTTGAGAAAGCTAAGGCGAAGTCCCAGAGGAGGAAAGATTTGCTGTTGCTGGTTGGAGCTCTTTAAAGCATCTGCTACTTGTGGGCCAGGAACAGAAAAGCATGTTGTTTTTGTTTCTAGGAGCAATACTAAGTACCTTTGAGTTTAGATCGACTCAAACTAGAGAAAACCATCCCTAATAATTTGTTTGTGCTTTTAATAGTTTCTTCCATGTTTAGCAAATTTGTCTTATATCTGCTCACTACTGTAAAACCACCCTTATTTAAAGACAAATCATTTCGAGTTATGATTTGAGACTTGTGGGAATACAGAGCATTGGATGCCTGAAACAAATTCCAAAGTAAGAATTTAAACCCCCCTTGATGCCCCACTGGCTCCCAGGCTAGATTAGGTCTCCTGTGGCATGTGATGACTGTCTCGACCCCAGCTCTCTCTCCATGGTGTGTGTGCTGCATCCTTCAAGACAGTATGAACTTCAGGGCAAGGACTGTCTTCTGATCTTTGTATCCACAGACCAGAGGTTCTCATAAACGTCTGTTCAATGAATGAATCATAATCTTATTCCAAATGTTGTCGTTATCATTATTACCCTCCTTGTTTCAGAGACACTTTGAACTTCTTAGGGATTTGTCTCTTAAATATCAATGTATAACATATGATTCCATTTTTATGAAGTTCTAGAAGAGGCAACTCTGGTAGAAAAAAACTGGTTGCCTCTGGGAGGGATGAGGGAGGAGACTTGACTGGGAGGGACATGAGGGAACTTTCTGGTAGTAATCTGTTATCTTGATAGGGGTTTGGGTGACATAAGTGTACACATTTGTATAAACTTAGTGGATATACTGTTAATATTTGTGTGCTGCATCATGTGAAAATTTTACAACAAAAAATATATTGACCTTTAGTTAATGATATAGTTGAGGATTTTTAGAAGGATGGGTACAGATATCTGCAATTTATTCAAAATACATAAATAAGATGAATTGATGGAGAGATAGAATACTAAATAAGTGATAAGCATAGTAAAATGTTAACAATAGACTTGGTAAATTGACGTTCACTTTAAAATTCAAATTTGCTGCATGTTTGAACATTTTCATAATAAAATGTTGAGAAAAATCATTAAGGGGCTTATCACAATATTTGATGTTAGAGATACGTTGACTCAGTTTAGTTATTTTAGTATGTTATTCTTAGACTGCCATGAAGTTATACTAGAAGAAATATTTGCTAGAGAGGAATATAAGCCTATGGCATAGTAATTCAGTTTCCCACTAATAATAATATGGCAACCACCTCTTCCCTCTCCTCAGGCTCAGAATACCCACCACAGATTGTGACAGGACCGGGGGTAAAATAGATGCTAATCAACTAATTTTTTCTTAAGACTACCCCAGAAGTGAGCATCTACCTATCCCTTGAAGGAACCAGGGTAAGTATGATGATTTTCCTGCCAATACACAGCAACTTTCAATAAATGCCAGGAAAACCTTCTTTTAATTACATATATTTATTAAGTACACACACAAAAATACTATTTAGGTAATAACTGCTTAATAAATACAATGCATTCAGAATAGATCTGATACTTTGTATTTAACTTTTAAAAAGTAGTTCCTTGAAGGAACCAGGGTAAGTATCATGATTTTCCTGCCAGTACACAGCAACTTTCAAGAAATGCCAGGAAAACCTTCTTTTAATTACATATATTTATTAAGTACACACACAAAAATACTATTTAGGTAATAACTGCTTAATAAATACAATGCATTCAGAATAGATCTGATACTTTGTATTTAACTTTTAAAAAGTAGTCCCTTCCACAATGAAACTTGGATCCTTCGTTTTTACACAGACAAAACCTAATCTTTTATAGTGAAAGGCTTTTGCAAGTTAATGTCCACGCAGCAGTCTAGTGTACCTATAATTTAAATGGCTTTCAATGGAAAGAGCTATTTCCAAAAAAAAGATTAAAAAATGTTTTCAGTTGTCTCTGCCCTGTCAAGTTTCGGTTGTTCCTTTTCTGGCAGTTGCAGCTCTTTACAGCTCATACCAGAGTGTGTATTTCTCTAGCAGTGCTCCTCGTTTTGAGTTAGAAGATAAGCCACACCGCACCAGTCTGTTCCTGAGAAGGTAAGATGATCTTAGCTTAATTAACTGCTCAGTAACTTAAATTTTATCATGTTAAATTAGAGACGTCTTAGCTCTTGCTCAAGGAGTGTCGACCTGACAATGTACTGAATGGTGGAGCTAATGGGACCCATGTTGTCCATCAAGAATATCAATCTCCAAAGTTAATATGGCAGCCACCTCCTCCCTCTGGCTTCCCTTATCAACATAAAGATCCATGGGATCTGTCATCTATGAAAAACCTAAACCCTAACTGCATTTTCAATATCTGTAGTTCTCAAACTGTGGTCTCCAGACCCACCGCATCAACTGGGAATTGGGTAGAAATGCAACGTGGGGGCTCTCACCCCAGACCTATGAAATCATAAACTGGATTGGACCCAGCAATCTGTGTTTTAACAAGCCTTCCAGGTGATTCTAATGCATGCTAGAGTTTGAGCACTTTTCATATCCTCTGCCCAAAAGAAGGGCCTGGAAGAAAATTCAGTGGACATAAATTTGTATTATCTTAACCACTAAACTTGTGGTAATTTGTTATATCAATAATAGGAAACTAATATAAATTGTTAATTCATTAATATAAATGTATGCCAAATAACTGTTTCCTTGTAAATAAAATATTTTTAAATAGCCCATAGTATGTCAGTCCTACGAATAACTGAAATAGTGATAATTAGTGCTATGGTTAGTTAAATCGGTTAATCTAAATGGTTAATTTCATAAAATAATTGAAAGGGATTGACTCTATTTTTCTCTTCAATGACTCACCAAGAAAGTGAGTGGCCTACATTTGATTATCATTTTTCTAGTGCATTATATGGCAAAAATGAACCAATCATATTGTTAAATAATACAAGAAAATGTCATTCTAGGGAACACTGAAAAGTAGCATGTTCCAAGTTTATATGAGAACCAATCACTGTATACAGCTTGACAAACAAAAGTAAAAATTTATCAACTATGCTTCCTATTTATATGAATAGTTTTCATGGAATAAAGAACTAATTTATAAAATTCAAGAAAACATGATTCATATCGAATAAACTTATAAATGGCCAGAACATTAATGAACAGATGTGAATGGGTCAGATCTCAGTAAATATGTTTTCAGTGTTAAATGCCAATCCTACGTTTTAGAACAGTGGCCGTCACAAAATGAAACAAAAGGTGCATATACCAGTAGAAGCACAAGCTGATCCCTGTAAGAGCAGGAGGGAATGTAGAACTTTGATTTTTTAAAAAATCTTATTCTTTTAAAATTTCCTTTTTCTCTGTACATGTTTTATAATTCTATCTAGATCGGTATGCTAGTATATGTATATATATAACTTATAAATAATCAAAATTTGGAGTGTATTCACTAATTTTTTCTGATAGGGGTTACACTATTAAAAACGTTTGGACTATCACTAACAAGAACCACCAAGTCACTGTCTCTGTCACAGCCTTATGCCTGCTTCTGGTCTAAAGATGAACACTTAAGTGATTTAAACAAAAAATTTCAAACTATTGCTAAACGCAAGTTTGCCATCAACCTTTTAAATAGGTTAACATACACAGAAAGTGTGTCAAGGGTTTCAAAGTAGCATTTATTTTTAAAAAGCACATTACGAGGTAGACTTATACCAAAATATTCAGTGCATATATTAATAAAAGGTTTATTAAAACCTTAAAATTATATGTAGGTATGTATGTAGATAAAATAAATTCATCTACAATTCTACATTCATCCATTTGAAAAACTCAAAACAATTCAATTGAAAAGGTAATAGCCAATTACACTTTTAGAAAGCTTTTCTAATTTTTAAATGAAGAACTTTTTATCTCTTAAAAGGTTCATGGGAGGGAGGTAGTTTTAATTTTAGATTTTAGAAGTTATTTTACTAAATCATTTGCTTTATGACCAGTTTTCAATGAATGTGAATATCTTTACTAGAAGGTAGGTAAAAGATGCCATAATTCTTATTATTCTGTTTCTACTGTGTCAAAATGATAATATCCAAGCTGGGCCAGTTACATAACTTGTGAGCCCAGTGCAAAAGAAAAATGTGGGCCTTTCGTTCAAAAAATAAGAATTTTAAGATGGCTTCAGCAGAGCATTAAACCAAGCATGGTGCAAGGCCCTAAATGACTGCACAGGTCATAATCCATGAAGCCAGCCCTGCATCTAAGTCCACTTCAGCTGTATATGGAATGCCAAAACCTTAGTTACTTTTGTCCCGTTAGTCTCTAGTACTGGGCTAGGCATATAGTGGGGATTCAAATGTTTGTTAAATGAAAAAGGGTCTTGCAGTTTTCCAGATCAACGAGAAATGCATTACTTTGATGAATACAGTCTGTTCATTGTAATAATAAATAATGAATTCCTCTGGTATCGAATATTTTTAGCACATCACATTCTGGCTTCATGGGAACTTTAGGCCACATAAGGTGAAGATTCATTTGATTCATTCGACAAACAGTGAACAGCTACTCTGTCAAATCCTGTACCAGGCAATGAGGGTACAGAATAGATAAAATAGCCCCTGCCCTCTCGGAGCTTACAGTCTAGCACAGAACTTACAGCACCTCAGAGCCCAGTGAGAAAACGTTCTAGTGTCTAGTGTATTATCTGGAACACTCCAAATTTCCAAAAATGTGAATCTAAAATTTACCAGAAAGCATAGTTTAGAAATGGAAGATGCAGTGAAATTTAAAAGAAAATTCAAACATTCAATCTTGAATGTAAAAACCATGAAATCTAAATGAGGGAGAAACTTAGGAAAGCTGAAAATTCTATTTTAAATACTTTGGACCAGATTTAAATTTTAAAAATTGTTTTATTGTCTCTGGGCGACATTTTCATTTATAGTGACATTTATATACACATATATATAGGAGGTGTGTGTATGTGAGATGTGTTCCTTCAAGGTTTGAGAAAACCCATATTTCTATCGCTAATTCATTTACAACAAAAGCATACAGGTAAATTTGAGACTTTCCTTTAGATAACAATTTCCATTATCATTTGAATGGGAGAAATTCTTAGGAATCATCTTTAGGGTATAAATTTTGGTACAGTCTTATTCTACAATGAGACTAAACTGTGTCTTTGTAACATCATGTGATAATTTAAGCATATATTTTAATGGTTATTGGCAAAGTTTAATGGCATTAAAAATACTCTTAAGTCTGTCTAGATCTGATTTTCATTGTTTTTTTTCCCTCCTGCATTCTTTTTTTTTTTTTAAAAGCATGAGACCCCTGTGCAAATGCAGAGCCTTTGTTGTTGTTTTGCTATTCTTTGGTACATTGCTGTTTATCCCTTAATCTAGCAACATCCTTAGTTTGTAGTATTTTACTTAGTGGCAAATGAAAAAACCACTAGCCTAGGCTTTAACTGGAAACTTCTATTATCCAGATGGTTATTGTGAATCTGTCAGAAAGGTGGTAAGAAACCAAAAGAGTGGTCTCAAAGACTATGCACCAGAGCTTGTCCAGCTCTGCAGGCACTAAGCAGGCTTGATTATGGCATGTCCCAGCTCACAGCAGATGAACACAGCACATTAGAGGGAAGTGGGAGAGCCTAAGAGGCAGGTGTTTTAATAGTGTGGTAAGAGACAGAACAAACTATTTAGCAGATATAAAACATTTTTGAGTTTAAAAAAAACAAAACAGCAATCTGAGGCAAATGATTATATATACCTCAGGGCTGAGGGAATCACTTTATAATAATTGATATTAACTCATTTGTTATAGCCCTTTACATTTTATGAAGTATTTTATATAAATCAGAGCTCATTGGATATTTGTAATGACACATGAATATAACTTTTACTTTTTATCGTGAAAAGTGTATACCGAACATGCTGTTTAAGAAGGCGGCAGGGAGGTATACTAACATATCTGCAAGACTTGCATCAAAAATAATTATAAGTTTTTAATTTTGGCACTTAAGAGATATACACTAGTTATCTAAAAATTCACATAAATGCTTTCTTTCATGGCCAACACTGGCTGTCACTTAGTGAAATTTCACAACTCTCAGTGACTGCTGGTCACTAAATAGGGATGATTGTCATCAGTAAATTATCAGAATAGTTCTGCTAAACCCAAGCTTAACATACTGTGGATGCCAACACCATATATTATGACTAAATGGGAAACACTAGGCTTCTAACAGATTTTCAGAATGTTTTTCCTATATTGCACTTTCTAGCAAACAAAACTTTAATACTAACAGTATAATGTGATTTGGTTCTAGACAGAGGAGTGGGAAACGTGATTTACCTTTTCCTTGCTTGTTTTTTAGAAATTTTTGGTATAGCTTCTTCTCAGGGATGTAACAAGGAAAAATAACAAAATATATATATTCTTTGGGCTTCTGAGAAAAAAGACCACACATATTTTCAAAAGGTTAAAATAGAGGTCTCTTCTGCTTTAGCCACTTCATTTTCACAATTGAAAATAAGGAACTATTTTCTACTATATATTTGATGTTCCTAAACTCATTTGACATAGCATTGCCATAAATAACTGTTCTGCAGAAAGCTTTTTAAAACAGAAGTATAATTTATACATTTACCAACAATTGTACTATATTACCAGTTATAATACATTTACCAATTATCATGAATAAAAATGACTAAATAAAATTTAGAGTTTTTAGAGTAAAAAACTCCAGATTAGATTTTATACTCTAAGTAAAATGTGAAATTGTAATTTCCTCCAATAATATACCATTCCTAAAAGCCTTTAATTCCTTGATTAATAACCCTGATGACTTTTTGATCATAATCATACCTCAAAGAGAACAAAGGTGGTTTTGTTGAGTTTGCAGGCTATTAATTTTTAATTCTCATCTGTGTGGCTCTATTTTTATACAAGGCTATTTAGCCTCCATCTTTCTTCATTTTATAGCTACTTATTCTGCTTAAAGTTTTTTAGTTAGGAATGGACTGTATGTATGCCCAGCAGTTTATGGTATTAATTCTAATGAAAACTGTCAATCTTGTAAATGTTCTTTTACATGGAGCAGAAGGTAAGCCAGCTCTGTAATAAAAGAACTTCCAGAGGATGCTAAACAAGTAAATCAACAGGTCAGTTTATCATCCTTTGTAAACTAAAGGGTAAAACGGTAGAGTAACAAGCACAGGCTTTGGACTAAAACAAACAGACCTGGGTTTGAATCCCAGTGCTGCCACCCAGCTCTGTGACTTTAAGCAAATCACTTAACCTTTCTGACCCTCCATTTCCTCCAAAGTAGATTGGTGCTTATGCCACCTCCCTTGCAAGGTCTCTGTGAGGATTAGTTGTAAAGTATTTACATTATTGGACACATACTAGGTGCTCTCTAATGGTTAAAGAATCATGGACTAAAATTTAAAGTTGGGCAACATGTGTGCCCGGCATCTGACATGGAACTCTCTCCAAAGGGGATGCAATTTACAGAAACTTCTTTGGATTATCAATACAATCATTGTAGTTAGTAGTTAATGTTAACACTGAGTGTTTTTGCCTCCAAAACTTTTCTTTTAAACATGTTTTTTAAAAAGTTTATGGCAAACCTGTGTTTCACTGTACTTTGCTGTAAATTTTTTGATGACTAATAAGTTTCTAATTTTTTTTAACAGCCAAGGTAAATTGATCTAATTTTTAAAATTTGTACCAGAGCCTACATTGTTCCAAGTGAGATGTAGTCTTTATACATGTGTGTGAATGACTGTCCGGTAGGTCTACAAAGAAATGTCATTTTTATTCATGTATTTGGGTTGCTTAAACATTTTTGTAAGATTTAAAATACTTTTCTTCTTATGGCTGGAATTCTCAGCTTCTACTCCCATGCCTCCCTTTTTCAATCTATTGGCCAGTTTTAAGGGCATTCACAATAATACAACTTAAAGACAAAATAAAGTGTTTGTAAGTCATTGTTTTAACAGACAGCATAATACAGTAGAAATTGCCCTGAGCAAGGAATTAGGAGACTTGAATTCAAGTCCTGGCTCTGCCACTAACTTTTCAGGATGGCCTTAGACAAGTCACTTAACTTCTCTCATTTGTTAAATAATGATATTGATTCTATTTTGCATTTTCTACCTCTAAAATTGCTTTAGTTTACTTATTATTTTTTTAATAATCAAAACACCTTTTGGGAGTTGTGTTAAGCACCTGATGGGTACAGAAGTATTTACTGATGTTTAAGGTAGTGTTTTACAAACTATGATCCAGGGACCATCTGAATAAAGATTGACTGGGGTTCCTGTTAAAAATACAGATTCCTGTCCTCTCCCTGGCAGAATCAAAACCTCCTAAGATGAGGGTGTTTTCTATATTTTTCACAAGCTCCTCAATAATTATAATGTACCCTAATGTTTGAGAATGACTAGCCTAAGAGAGTGTGATAGAGAGGGAAAAAGCTAGCATGTGGCTTAAATTACCCCAGTCTCTGGCAGATTCCCTCTAAACAACATACCATACAAAATGGAGGAGACTAGAAGTAAGCTTCTTACTTCAGCAGAGCAGTCAGCCTTGTGCTTGAACTCTGCTTGATGCTTTTTACTTGCTGCATCCCATAACAAAACACAACGAAAAGTCTTCATATCAGCTCTTAGTCTTAACATCCAAGTCACTGACTACCACAGCTATGCCAACAGCTTGAAGAGGACTGCAGCTCTCCTCTCACTAATACTAAGAGAGTTGAGCTCATGCCACTTGGCTCAAGGAAGAAATTTGACTAAAACACACCCCTTTACTCTCAATTGCCCCTCCACTCCAATACTATAAAATGTCATCCTGTGTGATTCAAATAGTCTGGCAGAGAAAATAGAAAATCTGAGCCACATTGTTTTCATCACTGTAGTCAGAAAGTGTACTAATCCAATAAATAAATCCTCTTCTATACAACAGAGATGACCAAAGCCCATTCCTTTTCCTCTTTTTCTTTCTAATGCTGTTGACATGAACAAAATACGAAGTAAAGACACATGCTAGATATTTTAAAATTCATCAAGTAAGTTAAATTACAAAGAGAGGTAATATTTTTTCTAGACTTTCACAAAAATATCCCTCTCATGAGGAAAAAATATGTATAATTTTAACAGGAAGCTTAAAAGACATTTTGTTGCAAGACTATCTAACAGTTATGAGAATAATGCCATTATCTGTGCTCATTATAGAGAAAAATAACAGCAGCTTTAAAAGGCCAAGTATACTGATAAATGAAGATGAAATTTCTTTTTCAACCAGTATGCCAATATCAAACTTCTGGGTTTTAGTCTAGTGTCACGGTTTCTTCTAACCTAACCCAAACTCCTGCCAAATGTCCACAGAATTCACACCAAAATCAAAAAACGAAAGAAAAGAAAAACTTGACAAGAGCTAACATGCAAAATCACCAGAGGAACTGGAGTTCAGTGGCACAGATCAGCAGGAGCTGAGGAATGCTGCAAAAGATGCTGCTGCATAGAGTCCGACTTGGCGACGCCCTACAGTGCTGGACGACCAAGTACTCAGGTCACAGGTGTGTTCATGGACCCATAAGAACCAGGATCTTCACCCAGACTTTTAAGATCTTCTAAAAAGAAAATACTTCACCTAAATTGAAGTAATTTATAAGTCAAACACCAGAAGAGTTCCTTATTTGATAAGTTGTGCCTAAAACTTTGGCTGATACAAAGAAACCCGTCCACTAAGGCACCCTGAGGCAATCTGACAATGTGTTGGAGAGAACTTCGTTGTCAGTACCACATCATTATGAGAGTACAGAGAACGGATCACCCGCAGGGGACTGGCTTCTTTGGGCAAACAGTCAATAAGTTCACTACACTGTTTGTCAAATCCCAACAAGCGAATTCCGTAGCCATGTGGGGAAGAAATCATTCGCCCATCAGGACTGAAGCAAAGTTCTTTGATATAACCCCTGCCTACATTGGCTTCTTCAATGTAATGAGTAAGTCGTAGAGAACAGCGAGGTGAGACAGGTCGCACGGGAGCTCCTTCTTGGAATTCATAGACACAAGTCCACTAGGGGGAGAGAAAAGAGACAAACCAAAGTTATAGACCCCAAATAGTACTATAGATATTCCTTTTTTAAAAAAGCTCAACAAAATGCCAAAGCTACAGAACTGTTGTAAGAAATCATTCAGATGAATATTACCTCTCCTTCAACTAACAAAACTTGTAAGACTCATACCTTTTTATCTTCATAAGCTAAGATTATTCTACACTATGCTGTTTTAAAGCCTTTTATTCCCAGAGGTTGCTGTGAATTCTGTAGTAATAATTCCCTTTTCTGAGGGTAACAGCAATCTTGATATTTAAAAAATTCTAGGATTAAGACAATCAAACCCTAGAATAAGTCCTGCATACTTCAAAGGTCTCTCCTTTCAGTTGTGGCTTCTAGAGCTAGTGAGATCGTTGGAAGACGCCTGCTTCCCAGAGTATTGAAAATCATAAGGTCATATAAGACCTTCTCCCCTAGTCATTCGTTTAGTCCCTTCCTTTCCCAAAGTTCCCCCTGGTTTTTAAAAAGAGAAAATTATAATACTCAATTGGCTTAGCAAAATCTCACATTTAGCCAACCTAGCTGAAACATCTCACTTCTGTGTTTACTGTAGAACGGTTTTTATAGGATGTGATGAAGGAAGAAAGAATTAAGAAGTTGGGCACAATCTGAGCTGATGATTGCTTTAAAGTACTTCCCAGCTTGCCACACCCAGGTCAGAGAGGAGGAAGAAGGGTTTTCGAGGGAGTAAGATACTATGAGTACACATGGCAATGGCAATTTGTTCAATCAGCCCTGTTGAAGGCGGAGTGCTGCTGCCTGTACCTCTTGATCATCAGTGTTGCTTGAGCACCGAAGAAGAGTGGCCCAGCCTTTTGGGTGCAGCTGTAAGGATGTGATACAGTTTCCACGGTCTCTCTCACCAGGAACTTCAGGGGTTAAGACTTCAAGACTATTTCGTGGTGAAACTCCTGAGATACAAGAAAATTAGGATGTGGGATTTATATTATCAGAGAACTAAGGCAGCTCATCGAAGTTGCGGTTTCCGTCAGCCACCCCTGATGCCTTCATTCCTTTGTCTGTCTTATGCTACCACATTTAAAAACAAAAACCAAAACATGATGCCCTCAATGTATGGGGTGTGAGCCTGTCTCTGGAGTGAGGGTATGGGCAAAGGGTATGTCGAGGACTGAAACATTCAAGTTCCTATAGCAGGAATCACCAATAACCTAAGGCTAAGGCATTAAAGCTGACTTGGGGTCCTTTTGATTTGGATCTACATCTCGGAAAGCTCTTAATTAAGTAAAACCAAAGTTATGTGACATAAAAAGAATCTGGAAAAGTAAAAACAATTCTTACCTCAGAGGACCTGGTGCTCTCTAGTTCAGAGAAGGAAATACTTGGAGGCCATGAAGACTGCCTTTATATAAATAAAAGGCTCTTATGTAAACAAAGAGCAGGCCTTATGGCCACCAAGAACAGAACTATAAACAACAAATAGACCTATACTTTTGGAGGTGAGGGCTGGTGCTTCGCATAGAGGCATGTCAAAACAAGGGGCGGGAGACATTGCCGATCATACATATTCCTGGTACTCTGCTATGGCCCATCATTTCCTTCTAACTAGTTTCCAATGAAAGTGACTGCTGTACTAAGCTATTGTCACTAATGGGAGTATATCATATCCTTCAGGTATGTGGAGAACCACTTTCACGGACATTGTAAGGAAGCAGCTTAGAAATTTAATATCGAGAGAAATATTTCAATATTTCAAACTTTCCTGCCTGTGAAAGGAGTTGCTTTGAAGATAATGAGCTCCTTCTGTCAGACACTTTGTGAATTGTTTCTCAAAAAGACGTTATCTTCTAAGAGTCCCTTTAGATTACTACAGCATTGAGAGAAACTTGTGAAGCTCTAAATTACAGTTACAACTAAACTATATCTAAATAATGATTTCACATGTTACTGAACTTTAATAACAATTTTCAAGAAAAACAAACTGTAGTTCAAGAATTAATTTTGAAAGTCTATAACACAAGCAGAAAAGAAACCCATTCTAAATAGCTAAGTAGTGGTTTTCAAACCGTGCTCCTTGGCGATTCCTCAAGAGCTGGCAAAAGCAGAGAACCACTTAGGGACTAGAGTGGAGATAAAGTGGGGAAGACTTGAGCCAGAGGTCCGTTTTTATTTGTGCTATATCCCTAAGAATCCATAGCAGATTTCATGTCAAAAATGAGTTCTAATCCTGAAATGAATTTGAAAGCCTCTGCTCTACACAGCTATTATATCTGCCAAAGTATGGTGCTAACATATTCTGACACCTTAAGTGCCAGGATTTCCAACTTTCAGAGCAACCTTACCTATAAGCCCCACCTGCTTTCTTTTCACTCCCTACTTTTCTTGTTGGGCCCCAATACATCATCTCTTCTCCCAGACCTAATTCTCTATAACATAAAACTGCTGTAAAGTTTTGTTTTGGGGTTTACTGATGCAATAAGCAAGCATGTTAACTATTCATCTCGAATTAAGTTTCTTTTTTCTCATGGATGGTTTAGTTAATCAAAAAAGATTTTTCTCAGTGATTATTAAGAGCCTTGGCTTGTTTCCCATAGCCAAAGAGAAGGAGAAGAACAAGTTGAATCTGCAAAAGAAGTTTCTGCTACAAATCAAAGGAGAGATGTTACACATCTGGGCATAAACCTCTACATTTAAGAGGGGGAGATTTTAACTTTAAAGTAAAGCATTCCAGTCTTCACCATCCAGAGGAAAGTGGATAAGCTATAAATTAGGTTAGGAAGGGCTCTCAAGCCATTCTACTCACATACGTAGTCATGCAAAATAATCAAGTATGCATTTGTCAGGCACTTACTAAGTGAGGCCACCCAGGGAAAACACATATTAGAAGCCTAATGTATAGTCCCTACTCTAAGTATCTAGGTAGGAAACATGCTTATCTCAAAAAGGTAACCCCAAATTACAAAATACCATATCTGGCCATCAGTCCACAAAGAGGACAAACAAAGAGTGCTGTAAGAGTTTAGATGTGGATTGTTTGGAGAGGGATGGTAGGTAAAATTTGCCTAGGTAGAAAGTATTTCAATTAGGGGATGGAAGGAATAGGCTAAGTAGCTAGTTATGCCAGAGTGGCTGAGGAAAAACCAGCAAAAGCAGAGTGGGGCCTGACTGTACCTCATGTTATCTCACAAGCCCTCTGAGGCTATCCGGCATAGCCTCAGATAAGGAAAGGGCAGAGTAAAAAGCCTACTGGGCTGGAACCAGGTGACTTCCATAAGCACATGATAAACTCAACCCCTTATATTTATACATTGTTACATGCATAATCTCATTTAATTTCCATAACAACCTTGATTGGGATCTACATTTCCCACTGCTTCCTCTCCAAACTACACCAAGCTAAGTGCAGGAAATAAAATCAAAGCTTAAATTCCAGCAAAAATTTATGCCCAAGATAGTCAACCATAGAGACTCTGTTTAGCTTTTTGAAAATGATAATAGAAGGGCAAGGAACAGCTTCATCTCTGTTGGCTAATTTTATGGATTAAAACCAAACCATAGAAAGCTATTTCGTAGAACCTGTTGTTGCATGATTATGAAATCCAACTTTTAACTTACCTTCTCTTTGTGAGGCTCGTGACATGTGTTTCTCAGAAGATGAATTAGAATCATTATGATGACAAGGTGACCCAGAAACTCTAGGACCAGATGAACTCGACGAAGTGGTCAGATCTTGAAAATACAAAAAGTTCTGACAATATAGCTAGTGAAACTCTGGTAATGTCTCAACTTTTATCACCTACTGTTAAAATCCATACTGTTACATGGCAATCCATACCGTTATCATTTCTTATAAAATGGGAAAAGAAAATTCAATAAGAATGAAAACTGCACTGTTCAGCCTATTTAATGTTAGAATAGGGTCCAAAGAGCAGGCCCATTACTGAGAACATGAACAGATCATTCTTAAAGCATACCGAAATCTTCTACTATCATTCTTGAAGTTATGTGAATATTATCTTTGAAATGCAATACAAACTTTACATTGAAATATCAGAATTACCCTTAGAAGACAGAAAATCTTCTTGGTTTTTTAATCAAATAATGTCAACTAGACCTTTAAATCATTCCTTCTCACTAAGCTCAAGTTGATTATTAGTGTTTAACCTAAAAAAATTTTTTGAATCCAAAAGGATTGATTATACTTGCATATTTATGAAATCCCTTGCTTGCAAATAAATTGGTAAAACTTAAATTTCTACTTTTGCAGTGAAATTGGGCAACTGCAGTACAGTGATGTCTGCATATTCCCAAAGGAGTATTCAGAATTGGCCCTGTGCACACAGGACAAGGATTCTTACCATTTGAAGCTGATTTTTAATAGCAAGTTATGTGTTCCAAATTTGTAAACATTTTTTCTGGGTTCTTGTTCATAAACACATTATTATAAACGATGGGTATGTTCTTCCCAAAGGTAGATGAAATACAGTTTCTACCACATAATATAGAAAAATTATAGTACATAAACTTTTCTGAGCCCCAATTTCACTTAAGTCTAATGGAATCAGCACCAGGAGAAGGAACAGGGATTTAGCAAGAGGATGTTTAGGGGTCATAAGGTAAGGTGGCACCAGCGACCTGTGTCTGGACATTTGGAAGTCTAAGATACAATATAGATTTGAAACTACAACTCTATATTGACTATAACTCAAATGCTCTGCTGGATTCCAGAATAACTTAAAAAGATTGATACTACATTAAGCCATCACTGATTTTTGAGATAGCGATGGTTTAGAAATATTGGTGAAGGATTTTTTTGGCTAGTTAAGAGCTAAAAAGGAAATATTTTTAGAGTTAGCAGTTATTCTTCCTAGGTCATTTGTGATACAGAAGCACAAATTAATGCTATGTCAGAGATACATATAGATCATTACACTTTCTTGGAGGAAAAGCGCTCACTGAACTTTCTAAAGAATGTCTTAATGTTCTTCCATTCTTCCTGCTACCATTCTCAGGATGGAAATATATACCATCTCTATGTCTGAGATTCTCTGGAAAATTCTCCAAAACAAGAAAAGCTTACCTGAACTTGATGTAGTTCTTCTTGCTCTCAAAATGGGATAGCTGCCTACTTCTAAAGACTTGGTTAAGTCAAGATCATGCAAAATCAAGAGATACCCAGAGGATGTTGAGATCAACATTTTGGAACAATCCGGTGTTAATCTCATTCTCATGAGAAAACGTGTGTGAAAAAATTTCTTATGTGGACACCCATCTTCTGTACACCTACAGAAAAAAATCAAACCAACAAAACTTAGAGTTATCATGAATATAAGAATTCAGTGATAGTCATGTTTTTGCTCTTCAATCTATAACTTACAGTCATCATATACTTAGTCTTACACACATGATCAATTTTATTTCGCTCACCATTCGTTGTTTCATCTCCAACTTTCCCTTTTAGATTATCCTTTCTTTCCCAAGTATTTTTTAGTAAGACTTTGTCGAGGTAAACTAACTTTTTATTGTTCTGAAATCTTTATTTCATTCTTCTTTTCGATTATAGGTTTAACTGAGCATATAACTTTAGGTTGATAGTTATTTCTTTCTGACTATCAAGGATAATATTCCACTGAGTTCTGGCTTCCATTGTTGCTATTTTTTAAGTCTGCTATCAGTCTAATTGTTACTTTGAATAACTTATCTTTCTTCTCTTTGTCTTTGGAGTACTGCAGTTTCACTCTGATATGTGTAAATTTAGATTTCTTTCTATTTATCTTTATTGGGATTAATTTGACTGTCAGTCTTAAAATTCATGTTATTCATATATTCTGGAAAATTCTCCATCATTATTCGAATATTGCCTCTCACCTATTTTCTCTATTCTCTTCTGGGGCTCCAAACAGATGTTTGAAACATTCACATTTGACTGTCCTTGTCTCATAACTGCTCTTTCATGTTTTCTATTTCTTCATTTCCATATTACATTATTCAATATCTTCCAATCTTTTTTTTTTAATCTGCTATTTAACCTATCCTGTTTGTATTTTTTTTAATGTCCATAGTTCTTTTTTTTACCTTAAATTTTGTTTGGCTCTTTATCAAATCTGCCTGGTCTTCTGGATAGATTTTTATTACTTACCTATTTATCCCTTTTCTTCCCCCTTTTATTTTATTTTTTTGTCAATTTTTAAAAAATTGTAAACTGTATCACACCTACAGAAAAGTGTATAAATAGGAACAAAAAGAACGAACTAATCAAAAACAGACTCATAAGAATAGAGGACAATCTCGTGAGGGCCAAAGGGGAGAGGGTTGAGGGGCTGGGAGAAAGGGGTGAAGGGTTAAAGAAGTACAAAATAATAGTTGATAAATAGTCACGGGGATGGGAGCAAGGCATAGGGAATGCAGTCAGCAGTAATGTAAAATGGCTAGGTAATAGAGCCAGAGGAGAGAAAAAGCTATCAGGGGGATTATTTCATAGACTATATAAATGTCTAACCAATGTAACATATACTTGAAACTAATAACAAAATTTTTTAAAAGTACATAAATAAAACACATTAGAAGTTTTTCCTCAAATGTTTGATTATCTTTAGCTGTCTATTCATAATTAAGAGTGGGGAACTAAAAAACTGACGGGGAACTCTGAGCTCAGGGCAAGGCTTGAACTCTACTACATAGGATGAAGCCAGTTTTTAAGAAATTCCTAATTTCAGTATCTTTGGTTCATTAACTGAAGAAGCTAAGGCTCTCTGAATTCAATATTCAGGGTGCATATTATCACTCAACTTTCCTGATTTTGGTAAGGTGCCCAAGCCTTCAAATGTGTTTGCCATCTTCAATACAGAGATTCTCTATTTTACTCTCTTTAGAGAATAAAAGTTGAAATTTCTTCTGAAATGGGAGGTCAATTAATTGCCCAGCAGTATGGATTAAGGGAAGAAATATAAGTTCTTTAACATCTTTCACTTGAATCCTTACTTTAGCTACTCCTTCTACTATAAAGTACCTAGAGTTGCTGTTTCCTATGAGTTTTGAGGATTTTACATAAATTGTCTTAGGTTCTTAACTTTTCCCCACTGTCAGCTTAGGATTCAGCTTTCTTGCACTTACTAAGTCAAGTTGTTTAAGTAAGTTGCTAAGTCAGTTGCCACTCATCTACCTACTTTCCAGATTCTAAAATTTTATTGTCATTGCTTCCTTTCCTATTTCCCTACCTTTATGAGTTTACACCCTTTATTTTGGTTTGACTTGATTTCTTCTTATGACTAATGATGTTGAACATCTTTTCATATGCTTGTTAATCATTTGTATATCTTCCCTTGCGAAATGTCTTTGCAAATATTTTGCCCATTTTTAAACCAGGTTATTTGTGTACATACAAGTTGCAAGAGTTCCTTATCTATTCTGGATACAAATTCTTTATCCGCTGTGATTTACAAATATTCTCTCCCATTTTGTAGTTTTTCTTTTCACTTTCTTAATAGTCTCATTTGATGCGCAAAACTTTTTAAATTTTTTGAAATCCATTTTATCAATTTTTAAAATCATTTCAACTTAAGTGTTGTATGAAGACTTACTCCTATGTTTTCTTCTAAGAATTATATAGTTGTAACTCTTATGTTCATGTTGAAATCTATTTTGAGTTAATTTTTGTGATGTGAGATAAGGGTCTAAATTCATTTTTTTGCAAGTGGATACCCAGTTGTTCAAGTATCATTTATTGAAAATACTATCCTTTCCCAACCCATGGAATTACCTTGGGACTTTTGTTGAAAATCAGCTGATCATAAATGCAAGAATTTATTTCTGGATTCTCAATCTGTTCCCTTGTTTTATATGCCTATCCTGTGCCAGTACCACACTGTCTTGATTACTATGGATTTATATTAAGTTCTGAATGTGTGAGTCTTTCAATTTTGTTCTTCAAGATTGTTTTGGCTATTCTGGGTTATTTACATTTCCATATAAATTTTGGAATCAGCTTGACAATTCATCCAAAAAAGGTAGCTGGAATTTTGATAGGGATTGCACTGAATCTTAATGATATTGAGTCTTCCAATCCATGAACATGGAATGTCTCTCCATTCATTTACAACTTATGTTTCTTTCAGCAATGTTTTATAGTTTTCCAGTGTACAAATTTTGTACTTTTATTAAATCCATTCCTAAGCATTTTATACTTTTTGATGCTATTTTTAATAGAATTGTTGTCTTTATTCATTTTTGGACTGCTCATTGCTTATAAGTAAAAATACAATTGATTTTTGTTTATTAATCTTGTATATCTTGTGACCTTCCTGAACTTGTTTATTAATAAATTTTTTGTGGATTTCTTAAGATTTTCTATATACAGTATATCTTCTTCATATAAAGACAGTTTACTTCTTTTCCAGTCTGGTTGCCTGTTATCTTTTTTTTTCCTTGCCTGATTGCATTTCCAGTGAAACTGTACTTCTAGTACAATGTTGAATAAAAGTGGTAGAAGCACACATCCTTGTTTTGTCCCCAAAGGGGAAAAATATTCAGTTTTTCAACATTAAGTATGATTTTAGCCATAGATTTTTCATAGATTCCTTTATCGAGTTGAGGAAATTCCCTATTATTCCCAGTTTTATCACACATGGGTATTGGATTTTGTCAAGTGCCTTCCTGCCTTTATTGAGATGATCATATATATGAGTTCTGACCTATAGTAATATGATGTATTACACTGATTCATTTTTGGATGTTAAACCAAACCCGTATTCCTGGGATAAATTCCAATTATTGTGACATATAATCATATATATACGTGTGTGTGTGTGTGTGTGTGTGTGTGTGTGTGTGTGTGTGTGTAAAGAGAGCACGCTAGGTTTGATTTGCGAATGTGTTAAAGATTTTTTATCTTTTTTTTTTTGGAGGAATATTGGTCTGTAGTTTTCTATTCTTAAGATGTTTGTCTGGTTTAGTAGTAGAGTAATATTAGCCTTATAAATGAGTTAGGAAGTGTTCTCTCCTCTATTTTCTGTAAGAGTTTATGAACGATTGGTATGATTTATTCTGTAAATTGGTATGATTTATTTAGTAAAATTCACCAGTGAAGCCTTTTCACTGTAGGAAGATTTTTAAATTACCAATTCGATTTCTTTACTTGCTATAGGTCTATAGGTCTATATATTTTCTATTTGTTAAGTCAGGTTAAGTAATTTGTGCCTCTCTCGGTATTTGTTTGTCTAAGTTGACTAATTTGTTGCTGTAAAGTTGCTCATTGTATTCCTTCATAATCCTTTTAGTCTCTGTAAAGTTGGTAATGATGTCCCCTCTTTTGTTTTAAAGTATGACTGAATGTTGAATTTTATTCCTCGACTGAAACAATAATATAGATTTATCTACTTAATCTGTTAATGGGATAAATTATATTAATAGAATTTCTATTGATGTCTTATTTTTTTTTTTTGGCTTTTAACCAAACAGCAACTTTTACTGAGCTGCAGGTAGGGCTAGCCTGGCATGGCCAATGCAGCAGACTGCCCTCTGTGGCATGATAGGAACTGCAATGGTGCACACATCGGGGCTGCCCATTGGTGCTCACTAGGATGGCTCAGATGGGAGTACACACCAGGGTACTGGAAACCAGAACCAGCCAGTGTGGCCATGCGGCCTCTCCTCCAGGCCTAGCTAGGCCAATCCCCAGGCTCTGAGGCAGCACCTGCATCCTGGGCCTGTGAAGTACTGCTGCCCTCACATCTCTGTGGGAGAAACATGACCAGCACCATAATCAGGATGACGAGTAGGCCAATGCCCACCATCAGCCCCAAGTAGATCTGGCAAAGGATGTTCTCCCAGCGCTTCTTCTGGGCCAAGGTCTTGGTTGTCTTGGTGAAGGCTGAGCTCTGTGGATACCACCAGACACAGGATGGGAGTTCGTGGCACCCCC